GTGCAGGTGCAGGTGCAGGTGCAGGTGCAGTCGACGTCAAAGGAAGGGGGGTGGGGAGATCGAAGAGTCTAGTCGTTGAGGCCGTGACGGAAAGGAGCCGAAGTGGGGCACGGACGAAGGAGAGGCCGGCTGAGCACAGCAGTTGACGGTTTGGCCAGGGTCTGGCGTTCTGGCGCAGCAGCTGAGCGGCGTGAGTGAGCGGGCGAGCAGGCGGAATTTTGAGGTCCACTCTGCGCGACGCGTGAGCCGCGCAGCAGAGCATCGAGCGCGAAGAGACCAACACCGCCGGAAAAGTAAAAGCAAAATGTGAGATTGGTCGAAATTCGAAATTCGTAGGCTCGGGTCCCTTTGATGTGCGCTCTTGACAGCTCGTCAGGTTGGGCCAGCTGAGCGCTTGATGCTGAGTAGCCCAGCATGGCCGTGATGGCATTGATCGTGCATTGCACTGTACTCGTACAATCGGAAGGCGAGAGAGAGGAACGCACCGATGCGGCTCCGTTGTCGGGATGTGATCCATGGCCGCTCCCACCTCCACTCGCCCGAAGCGCCGACGTCTTGCGCAGCGGCTGCACGTGGAGAGCGCTGGTTTCGAGCACGGGACCGGCTTGGTGTGCTTGGCTCTGCATCCGAATGTGACGCTTGCAGAGGTCAATAGCACAGTCACAATGGCTGCTCGTCGGCTCGAAGCTGCACTGCACGCCTCGGCATTGTTCCGCACTCGAAACGGTGCCGAGCTCGGAGCGCAGTCACACGCGGAGGGGAGGATTTGCAATCTCTGCTGACCTTCCCTTTGTTGTCGTCACATTGGGCACACGGCGGCTCAGCTTCGACCCACACTCGTCTGGATGAGTTGGGCCCTTTGCACTTGGTTGGCTCCACACTGTGAATGGCTGCAGCTCATGCAGGCCGTGCATCGGCACCCATTCGACCTGCATCCTCTCCGTCCACGCTGCTACGCCTCGCGGGTGCTCATGAAAGGGCTTCTCGGCCACTCCATTGTCTTTTGCACGTCGAGAGGCCCAAGCAACGCTCGCTCTCTCACCCATCAACTAGCTAGGTCATCCACTCCTTTCAAGTCGTCGACGCCATGTCCACTCGCTGCTTGCCCATCAGCCTCCATCGGCGTGCTGCATTGGCTGGTCCACTCGCTCCGCCTACCCTCCGTCTCGACAAGGCGATCGCTTTCTCATCCTGATCCAACTGCTGCAACAAAACCACTCCGGATCTGCAAGAGCCCCACCACCTCATCTGCCACCGCCTCGATCCAACCCAAACATGCTTTGCGCATGCAGCTCGTCCAAAACGTTATTTGACGCTGCCCCCGGCCCATCACACCCCGTCGCTCAAAATCGCTCCGCATTGCCCTTTCCCGCTCGGCGGCAACTCGCTCCAGTCAACCTCATTCGCACCGCACCAAGCCATCACAACGCCTTGATTCATTTCCCTCGCTGGTAACCCGCAGCAAAGAAGGTCAGCCGGCTGCCTTTGCGGCAGGCAGAGAGCTGCTCCCACGCTTTCCGCTCCGCTCGTCTTCCTCGGCCTCCAACGTCGATCCTTTGGCCGCATCTTCGCTGCTGCCCTCCCCTTTAAATCGGCTCGGCTTGGACACATATTCGATCGCGACTATCAAAGGGCCACTCTCTCGTCCGTCACCTCACACTCTCTTCACTTCCTGGCGCCGCTACTGTACACCATGCATCCCTCAACCGAAGCAGGGCCATCGCGACCCGGCCGCTCGCGATCAAAAACTCTCCCCAAGAAGGCAGAGGATCCAGCCCCATCCGCGATGCTGGTCCACCACTCAAACATGGACGACATGCCCGTCTTCTCCCCCGTCCTCCGCAAGATTCCTCGTCCGCCAAATGCTTTCATTCTCTACCGGTCCGCTAAAATGCGCGAGATCTCAAACAGCGACAAGGATCGTAACACTGGTACAGGTCTCGGCAAGCTGGACTATCAGCGCCAGTTGAGCAAGCAAATCGGTCAGCTCTGGCGTAACGAGACCCCAGAGGTCAAGGCTGCTTTCTACGACAAGTCAAAGCAAGCAGCTCGAGAACATGCGCAGCGATATCCAGAGTATCGATTCAAGCCCGGCAAAAAGGGGGCGGCAACCGCCGACGATCCTTCCACCTCTTCCACCGCCGCCAAATCAGTAGCCGATACCACCTCACACTCTCGCACCGTCAGCAACGATTTCTCCCCCGTCACTGGCCCCGTATCAGGCTCAGGATCCGGCAGCGGCCGCAAAAGGGCCTCGCTCGAAAGTGCAAGATCCAAAGCTTCGCCCTATTCTGCAAGTCACCACCGCCGCTCATCTTCCGCCAACTCCACCTCCCCCTCCCGCAGGCGATCCAGCGACCCGATCAAGCAAAGTCCGATCCATCATGTTGATCCTATTGCGCTCCACCAACCAACACCGAGCTTGGTCATTGCTCCTCAACAGCAGCAACGCCACCACACCTCTCACCGAACTTCGGCTGAGCATGCGCCCACCCATCCATCGTCGCAAACCTCCTTCGACACGCTTCTTCCACCGCACCTCCGAGAGCGGTCCCGCGTCTTCCTGGCTCCGCTCAACAACCCTAACGCCCCGCCGATTCCTGTCGGTCAGGCTATCACCACCACTCAGGCGGTCCCAGTCGTCAATCCCAAACGCGAAGCCTCGCCCCCACCAAACAGACCAAAGATCGGTCTCGCCGAGGCTGTCAAGCGCGCCCTACCACCCGAGCGACGCGCTCTTCTGCACGCTTCCCTGATCAAAAAGGGTCTCATACCCGTCTCTGACCAAGAGACGTCATCCACGCTCGCCCAAGGCCTGCCTTGCCCTCCACCCACATCCGAGCAAACCACGCAGAGCCAGTCTGCATCCCAAGGCTCCACACCAAGCCTCGTGCAGACAGACTCGTGGAGCTCGATCACTGACTCTAGCATCCAGATGGACAGGTCGCATACTTGGCACGCTCAGGCATCGACGATTCGAGGAGGGACCTCACCTGGCTCATCTTGGCCCACAGCAAATGCTACGAGCACCGCAAACCTGCTTCCCTCGCCAGACCCTGCATTGCAGGATTCCATTCCCATGCCACCGACCCAAGGCTCGAGCATCAACATCAGCATGAGGCCTACCGACGCAGCGCGGTACCACGAACTTTCGGTCTGGAATCCGCTCGAGCAAGACTGGTCTCAGAACTCTTGGACGTGGGCAGATCCAGCTGGCGACAGCACCGTACCCGCATCTCAAGCATCCGTCGCCACGCACTTTGATGCGAATGCTCCTACCAGCTCTCAAGACGCCCACAACGCTGCCTCGCAGACTATGGCCTCGCAGCAAGCACCAGCGGATCTCGCCTTCTGCAGCATCGACTTTGGCAGATACAGCCCTGCGGAAGCCATATCCGAGCTCGATCGCGCCATCAATGCGGCCAACTCGGCCATTGTCTTGGTGTCACAACCATCGCAGGACGGTGGTGTGCAGGGCCACATGTACGGCTTGGACGGCGAGCTGATCGGTCACGGCACAGTCGATCCTCCCGAGGCAGAGCCGTCCTCTGGGCTTAGCGCAGGACTCAGCGCAGAGGAAGAGAGCCAGCAGCGAGCGGTAGAGCTGCTTCTGGAGCAGATGATAGGCGCGACGAACCCGCACACGCACGACTCTCAATCGCAGCCTTACAGCGCGGACGCCAGCCAGAGTTTTGCGGATTCGCAGTCGCAGAGCTTCCACGATGCACAGCAGTGGCCAGAGTGGCAGCACCCGGTCTTTTCGGCGACATCATCTGGTCCGGTCATCAATGCGGCAGAGTCGCAGGGAGACGCAGCTTCTGCACGACCCTGGACAGCAACCTCGCAGAACCAATTTCGACACGACGAGGCGACGCCGGTTTACCTCGCCTCGTCGATACCGGCAGGAGACGCCTGCTCGCATGTTGGTGGCCCGTCCGAGGCGCAACACCGCTTCGATCAAGGATTTGCAGAACGGCACGACAATGCCCGGTCCCAGCAAGACCTGGAGAACGCTCCAGCCGATTCTGCCCCGGTAAGCCGAGGCCTGCGAAGCTGGAAAGCAGCCCAGCTCAGCTCGATCAAGGAAAAGTTTGCGCGCATGCGCCAACGATCCACGTCCACCCCACCCGTCCCCTCCATGCCGCTGCTATAGACCCCGACACGCGCCTAATCACCTAGACAGAATCGAATAATTTGTACCTGCGCTTCACGGCTATTGGAGAGTGTTGGGCGACGAGAGGTGGCTGCGCTAGAGACTTGCGGGGCGCAGTTGCTGGTGGTGGCCGATGAGGCCTTCGAGGAGGCCGGCGACGAGATCTGCCTGGGCCTGCGACGAGCATGCGCCGACGTCGTTGGTTGAGGTTGGTGTTGCTTGCTGTGCGACGCCGAGCGCAGGCAGGGTGGAAGACGGCCAGAGCTGGGTCAGTGTCAGTGCGTCTACCTGCACCACGGCGTTGCTGGGCCAGGAGTGGGGAGGTGAGTCCAAGCTAGCATTGATAGTGGCGTGGGTCGAAGCGTGCGCGGGCATGCAAGCCTCAACGGCGTCAGCTGTGGGATTTGTTGCGTCGGATTGCTCGGTGCGGACTCGTTTGGCCGTTGATTCGTCGACTACCTGCATGTACGCCGACCGGTTCCTGTCTTGGTCCAGTGCGATCTGGAACGCTGCTCGAACGTGCGAAGACAGCGACTGCAGATCATCAACCACCTCCTTTGCGCCGTCCATGATGTCGGTCGATCGGCGAATCCCGGTCAAAGTGGCTTCTACCTCCGCCACGATCCTGGCCGCGGCTGAAGGCGGCTCGTTCAGGACGCGCTTGAGTACAAACGCAGCGGCCATGGCGTAGCACTGCAGATGGAGCGCAAGCCACGGGCTTGGCGGTAGGAATCGCAGTACCGTGTCGGATGCGCGCAGTGTGTGCATGGCCAACTGCATGCATCGAGTCGCATCCTGCTCGCCACCTGCCTGGTCTTGACTGTGCAGTAGTGCGAGGTGCAGCCGCAGTCGGGAGTGCTGTAGCGATACAAACGCGATGCAACTAGCCGCTGCCGAAATCGGCTCGCTTTGCGCACCGGGAGACGATCGGAAGGAGAGCGGAAGCCGATCGTACCACGATTCCAACAGGCTTTCCTGCTCAACCGCTCTTTGCTTTGCTTCCGTCTCGCCCGGAGGAGAGGAGAGGAGCTCGACCATCGTGCGACCGACCGAGCCAGCAGTGCTGCACAGCGAGGCAAGCTCGGCAAGTTCGCCCGCAAGATCTGCGGAGCTGCTGCACGAAGCCGCTGTCTGGCTCGGGAGATGCTCCACCGGTCCGATCCCACTCTGCAGACCGTCCACCAGCATCTGCAGCATCGGAAGCAGCCGCAGCACGCCCGCCACCCCTTGCTGGTTCTCGTCGCAGCTCGGCTGTGCTACGGCAGATGCTAGGCCGTGTACGTGGTCGAGGTGTCTGCGCGCATTCTCCGCCTCCCCACGTGCAGCAGCGGCGTACGCTAGCAGAACCAACGCCTGCAGACCATGCAGCTGTCGGGTAGATGGTGTACTGGGCTTGGCGAAAAAGCTCGTCCACAGCCGAGCTTGCGCATCGTATTGAGTCGATGAGCCGTATGTGTTGAAGTTTTCCGCGACGTTGGCGGGAATTACGGCTTGCGACGCGCACGACATGATCGCGTACACCAGCGCTACCGTCTCGGCATCCAATACGCTCGGCAGGGGGGAGGAGGACGAGACACGTTCCCAGGCGCTCTGCGCCTCGGCCAGCGAGACGGCGGGAAAGAACAGGTGCACGCGGTGGGCGTAGCATTCGAGCAGCGCGTAGAATCTGGCGCCCTCCGGTAACGGAAGCAGCGTCAAGGCGTGCGGTGCCTCGTCTTTGGTCTTGCTTTGAACAGTCTGGAGTGCTAGCTGTCTGCTAGGTTGCAGGGCTTGGAGCGTAGCGCATGCTTGAGCGATGAGGTGCGTGGCGGAAAGCATGGGCAGCGCCACCGTATCTGACTCGGTCCGGCCCGATGCGGCAAGTTGCGCAGAGGCCGATGCCGTCTTGCATGTCGGTCGGGAGTCGAGTGCGTGGCCATCGGGAGCCCCTGCCGGGCTGAGTGCACGACGGCAGTGCGGATGGCAGCGGTGCTGGAGCATCATGGACCATGCGTGTTCGAGTTTGGCGAGCCGCAGCTCGAGCGACTCGACGTAGCGCCTGCTGTAGGCGGAGCGGTCCTTGACGTCGACGTAGATGCATTCTTCCGCAAACGAGATGCAGTGGCTGCACGGCTTCTGGCCATTGCACTTTACTTTCTTGCGGCGACACACCTCGCAGGCGCGCACCACACGCTTGCGGATCGACCCCACCGCACACGCGTGAGCCGCGGTTCCAGCCCCGCTGGGCGACTGTGACACGGACGTACCGGCGACGAGCGAGCGTGGCGACGACGGAGAAGAGTCACTCCAGTTCGAGGGAGACTGCGTCGTCAGAGATCGCATACACATGGTGGTGAGAATAAGGGGCGTGGTAAAAAGTTCCACTTGGCTCCCAACCAAATCTGGCTCTTTTATCTGGACCCCGCCTCCCCCATGCATGGGTGAAGAACGATGCAGCAATGTCAACGCAGGTTGAGACGACCTCGACATGTCGTAGTGCAGCATAAGCCCTTGACACGGAAACGAGATAAAGCATACTGCATTGCCGCCATTGCCGCGCGGGCACGCAGCGGCCGACCGAAGCTGCGCCTAAAAGACTTCATATGCGTGCAGATGACGGGGTGCCAGTTGAGCGGTCCGTCGGCGCGTACCGCCTGCTTGGACCTGTCTCACATGCGCACGAGCATGATCGCCTAAACTCTGCCGCGCGAACCACGCCGAGAACGTTGCTCGCTTCTCGATTCACCCTTGAGTGTGCCAAGAAGAGACTTGTCTGGACCACCCCACCAGGGATCTTGCCGCTCGACCGAGGTCAGCCCGAGCTCGACACTTGCACAGAGATGACGCCAAGACCGCCTCTTGTAGCTGTCCCACGTTGACGCCCTGCATGAGATCACCTCACGATGGCCATTGTTCAGCGGGTGACGTGCATGAGGGGCACACCGTGTTCCCGTCCAATCTCGGCAGGAGCTGCCGACACCTCGTATCAGCACCGCCCCGACGCAAGCGTTTGGCATTCTTGAAGCGCTACGGTTGCTGAACGCTCACCACCTTGCACTTTTTTAGTGCCCGCTTCTGGTGCTGGTTGATGCGTGGCTGGGTGATAGCATCAAGCTCACGCGGCCGATGCAGGTGTCCGACGGAAAGGACGACGCTCGAAGTCGACGTCGCGCCTCATCTGAGCAGGTGGATGTGAAGCATGGATCTGGCACCGTGCTGGCTGGCAAAAAGGATTAGCATCACAGTTGGGTTCAGACCCACCGTGCTACAGGCACCTTTCAGGCACAGCTCCCATCGATCTGCCCTTGCAATGTGGCCATACTCAAGCTCGAGTGGTGTCAAGCTCAAGAAGGGGGGGACCTAAGATGAACGCTGAATACTGAGCAGACGTGGTGTGGCGATCGGACAGATGCGGTCCGCACCCACTCGTCAGTGTCACTCGGCAGCGTACGCACATGCCGGGATTCCCAAGGCACATGTTGGATGATTGAAGCTGAAAATGCTGGGTAAAAATACAAGATGCATGACGACGAAAGAGGAAACTCGAGGGATGACAAGATCAGAGTTCCTCGATCTGCAGGTCTTCATCGTCGCTATCTACGGGCTCTTCGGCACCGACGTCCTCGGCGGTTGCGTCGGCATCGTCCTCGAGATCCTTGGCGGTGGCAGCCGACTCGTCTCGCTTGAGGATGTTGACCAACCTCAGGACGGACTCGGCGATCTTTTCGTCGGCTTCCACCAGATGCGCGGAACGCACCACCACATACGCGCCGCGCGCACGCAGACACTGGCGGCCGTACACGTTGGTGCAGAGCAGCAGCAGCGACTCGACGAGCATCAGACGCAGCGCCGGATCCTTTTCGCGCTTCTTGTCTTCCGGCAGCATCTGACACTCCTCCGGCAGCTCCTCCTGGTCTTCTAGGTCCACCTCGGCCAGCTCTTTACCGTCACAGAGCGGCAGCAAAAGGTTCGGCAGGATGTCCACCGAAGAAGGCGGACGTGTGGTGGCGCGCAGCGCACCGGCCAGCATCTCGTCCTCCCCCTCGCGCGCCGGTGGCGGTGCCACGAGCAGCTTGTGTGCCGACTTTACGAAGAGTACGTTCCTGCGGCGAGAAGACGAAAGCGAATGTGGTCAGTCTCAGCGTGTTGGTGTACGATGATAATGTAGGGCGAGAGGGGGCGCTAGGAAAGACTCACTTGAGCGTGCTGATCACGCCACCTCGGCGGATGAGGTTGGGGTGTTCGGTAAAGGCCATGATGCGAGCTACGGGATATTCGGTGGCAGCCGGGATGGAGCCCTGGTCATCGACGCCGCGAGCGAGGGCGGCCTGTGCGGTTGCAGAGGCGGCTGCCGAGGAGGCCGACAGTGGCGAGACGAACCAGTCTCGTCCGCGCGGCAGCACGGTGACGTTGGCAAAGACACTGGCAAGAAAGTTGCAGTTGGTCTTGCGCTTGATCCTCGGCCTGCCGTCCGGACCGCGCTCGACCTTTTCGGGCTCGTTGTCCTTGTCCGCCTCGGCCTTGGTGGCGGCGTCCTTTGCGCGCTGCTTCATGGCCTCGAGGTCGCTGCCCTGCGAGGCGACGGTGGCGCCCTCTTCAAAGGCGTCGAGCAGGCGTGCCATGGCGGGCACCTTTTGGTCCATCTTCTTGGCCTGCTCTGCGACTTTGGTGGCGTACTCCTGCGCCTTGGCCTTCTTCGCCGCGTATTCGGGGTCGTTGGGCTCGACGTCCATGCCGTTGAGCGCGCCCTCCATCTCTTCGGACGCCATGAAGCTGTAGAAGGGACGGGCCTGCACCTGGAGATCGAGGAGGATGGCGCAGATGGACTCGAGCTTGGTGAGGTTGGAGAGCAGCATGCACGCCAGGTCGGCGAGCAGGGAGACGGGGTCGGCAATGTAGCGCACGAGGAACTCGAGGAAGGCCTTGTCGCCGATCTTGCGAGCGAGCACGAGGCTGTCGGAGATGTTGATGAGTGCGCTGAAGGCGTCGTGAGCGGTGATGGGCTGGTCTTGGCAGAGGCGCTTGAGGTCCTCGAGCGTGTCGACCTCCTTGCCGTCGCGGCCGAGGAGGGGCGAGCCGTCTCGGTTCTTGTGCTTGGAGATGAGCAGGGAGCGATGCGGACTGTCCTTGGCGCTGAAGCCGACGATGTTGGAAAGCGCGACCTGGCGGACCTGGGCGTTGGGGTCCGAGAGGAAGGTGAGCACCTCGAGCTCTGGTGGCGGCGTTGGTATCGATGGCATGGCTGTGCGTGTGTGTTTGTGTGTGTGTGTGTGT